AATTTTTTATTAATTTTTATGTTAGTTTTAGTTAATTTAGTACATCAAGTTAAACTAATTAAAATAAGAATTGTTGGTAATGGCACTCTTAACTATTTACTAATTATTCCGAAATTTCAAATGTGGTGTGGTGGGTAGCCATTTTCCCAACCCTTTGCCTCGCAGTGTGTGCGTCAGCATGCATAGGTTCAAAATCTGACAACTTGACCTTTCGCTGGAGATTACTTTAGTGAACTCATTAGCATGACTGTGCTCCAGTGCACAAAGCATTCTGTGTAAACCAATGAACGTGTTATGTATGAGAAAACCGATTAATCGTTTTGCAGCCCTAAATTTTTTATTAATTTTTATGTTAGTTTTAGTTAATTTAGTACATCAAGTTAAACTAATTAAAATAAGAATTGTTGGTAATGGCAACTGTTTCAGTTAACGTTATTTTATTTCAAGTACCTTTTTTATGGTTTTAGTTTCAGCTAACTGTAATAACCCTGCCTCATATTGTATTTCAAAGTTGAAATGGAATGATTGAAACACCCAATTAGAGTGACCTTAATAGTCCTTAATAGTCCTAACAGTGCTCTTCCGCAGAGAGTAAAGTACACTTACTTTAAAAAATAGGCAAAAATAGGGAGTTGACACAGGAAATCAAACTTGCAGTGTCCTCAGCATCAGGCTGGCCACAGATAACAATCTACAAGAAAAATAAGAGACTGTTACAAAGAACAGAACAACAAACTTGTGAGCAAAAAAAGCTGTATGAACCACCAAATGAACAAATGTGAAAAGAATGAAACAGAAGAAAGGGTCAGGACTGCGTGCATTGTGCTGTAATGAGGTGGGCAGGTGTGATGTAGAGCGGGCTGCCCTTAGCAGGACCTCCAGCTTGTTATTCCTCCTACTCTGATGACTTCTCTGCCGCTAGTGAGCTCTGATGGCCATGACACATGTTCACAGCTCATACAATTGTCCGGGAGCAGGAGGAAACTTTGGAAAAATGGCCTGACAGGAAAAACTTTTATCCAGCAGCATCATTCTAGTTGATATGTGACAGATCCAAACGCTAACGGTCCTCATTGTGAGGACTGATGAGCTGGCTATCAATCCTACTGTATGTATCTTTATACCAGAAGCATCAAGGGTCATACTGATATCCCAAAAAAAGCTTAGGAATCATGAATCAGACATTTTCCTTTCAAAAGTTTGGGGTCAGTAAGATTCTTTCTTTTTTTTTTAAGCAATACTTTTACTTTTCCACAATATATTATGCAGCACAGTTGTTTTCAACATTGATAGTGATAAGAAATGTTACTCAAGTAAAAAAAAATCAGTCTATTAAAATCATTTCAGAAGGACCATGTGACACTGAAGACTAGAGTAATTGTTTGCCATCACAGGAATAAAATACATCGTAAAATATGATAAAACTAAATTGTAATATTTCACAATATTACTAATAATTTAATGTATTTGTGATCACATAAATGCAGAACATGGAACACTTGAAAAACATTTAAAAAAAACTATAATTATATCTTTGAACTATAGTGCATATATACAGTATAGACACAACTTTTCATATCTGAGCTCCTAAAATTATGCAACATTTGTTTATTACAGCATTAAACATGGATGGAAATATCAATGAATACAAAAAGCACCCAATGACCAGATGAATCCAAAATGTGATGCAAGGTACTTATTTCCAGTTATATGACATAAGAACATATGGCAAGTCTGAGAAAATCATTCAGCGTGGCAAGCACACTCAATCTACTCAGCCTTTCCTCAAGGCTGATGCATTCAGAAGTGACAGTCCCCACCGGAGAGAAGTTCACTTCCAGGTTTCCAGAGCATGAAGTGAGGAGGTTCTTCGGTGGGACTTTATAAAATTCAGCCATGGTTTGTCACCAGCATATGTTGTGTCTCGCATGCTGATTTGTTGTTTTCCCTGCCAGATTTCTTAACCAGCAAGACTTTTGTTGTCAGCCAGCTTCACTGGATGGTTTTGACACCTCTATGATCAATAGGGCCTTTAACTGAATCTTCCTGAAGGCTTAGCGTGGCCCAAACATGCCTAGGGAAGTTCAGAATGGCTCTCCAGATGCTGAGATCATTACACTTGCGTGCACAATTGAGAGCTTCCTGTCAGGCTGTATTACTATCCGGTACAGTAGCAGCAAAACATTGGACTGCAAGGACGTGCAGAGGGTGGTGCGGTCAGCTGCATATAACACCGCGGGTGTATCGGTCAACCTGCAGGACATGTACACCAGATGGAACAGGAAAATCATTGAGAACTGAGTCTCTTGATCAATGGTCCATCCTCATCTCAGCTCTAACTGGAGTCTCCCTAATTTTCATTTAAAGCAAAAAGCATTGTTCACTAATTAGTTACTACAAATCTGGATGATAAAAAATACATGAATAAATAATTTGTAAACAATGTGTAAAAAAAAATAAAAATAATAATAATGTGTTAATACATATTTAAATATAATAATAATAATAAATATATTCATAGCAATATTAAAAATATGTAAAACAATAAATAAAGTAATTAATTAATTAGAACAATATTAAATAATACATTAAAAATAATAATTATATTTAATGGTAAAATAGAAAATAATTAATTTTAAACAAATAAATAAATACTTGATTTAGAGTATTAATATGTTTTACTTAAATCATAAGAATTGAAAATATTTAAAATATAAATCTTAGAAAGAGTTTATAAAACAAATCAGGAGCATATAGAGTAAAACTGTCAAGATTTGACTTAGACCAAAGACTTGAAACCTGGCTTTGAGAGACTTGAGATTGAAATCTGACTCAACCTAAGGGACTTGTGAACTAATTATTTACTACACTTCTGGACAATAAAAAATAAATGAATAAATAATTTGTAAACAATATTTAATAATAATAATAATAATAATTATTATTATTATTATTATTATGAGATGAAAAAGGAAGTGTATTATTAGAGTCTGTATGCGTGAGAGTTAGTGAACAATATACAACTTCTACTATTATTACCATTTTATTATTATTATTAGTAGTAGCAGTAGTAGTAATAGTATATTATGTTAACAAATATTTTAATAATAATTATTATTTTAATAATAATATATAATTAATAATAAATATAAATATACTCATATCAATATAAATAAATAAATAAATAAATAGGGTAAAAACAAACAAACAAACACATACTTGATTTACAGTATTAGTAAGTTTTACTTAAATCATAAATATTGAAAATATTTAAAAGGGTTTGTAAAACTAATCAGGGGCATATAGTGAAAAACTGTCAAGACTTGACTTGGACCAAAGACTCGAAACCTGGCCTTGAGAGACTTGAGATTGGAATCTGACTCTACCTTAGGGACTTGTGAACATGTTTGTCTTATTGTAGTATTCACAGTCAAGGAGGCTTGAAAAAAAATAACATTTCATTGCCATTGCATCAGTTGGACATGATGTGACAAGTGAAACCAGACATTTAAGCTTCATAGTCAGTAGCTCTGGACCAGACTGCAGTTACCTGTTTGAGGGTGTAATACTGGGCCATGACACTGCGGACCATATCTGGCAGGGCAATTGGCACTGTAGGGATTTCTATCATGAACGGACACTCTCTGATATGCCACTGAATCAACTCGTCATGAGATCTAAACTAATTCAATCAGGAGACAACAAAGCTTTCTTTGTCTCAGGACTGGAAAGTTCGTTCACAACATATAGAAACCACGATGTCTTGTGACCATCAATGAATGAACTATTACATCCAACAGGAAAAGGACAGTAATTTAATCACACCCTCAGGCTTGCAAAACAACAGACCTAAGGAACAGTGATAACGTGATTCAATCTATACATGACCACCACATGACTTTTTGACCATCTGCTTCCCTCCCTTCCTTTCTCTATTAACAGAGGAAACGCAGACTTACACAGACAATTCATAAGACAATCATTGAAAATCATTTAAAGTATCGGGACAATATATATTCACAAATAATATGTTTATGTCGGATGATGTGTGATGTGTTTCCTGTAATCGGTGCAAGTTTAACCAATGTTGCCTTATAACTCAAGACCTCTGGCTTTCACTTTGGTGACAGCGCTACAAGCGCTCCCATGCCGTAACATCACACAGCGAGACTCCAGAACTCAAACACTTCATTTGAAACTTCGCGATCTTCAAAGAACTTAAAGTCTTGCAAACTCAGACTTTTAGCAGAACTGCTCAAGCCTCTGTGTCATCAAGAAAGCAACCAATCAAACGAGGGCTCTCCCAAAAGGGATGTCATCCTGACGTCACCGCAGTAACCGATCGGCAACGGAATTTCCCTCCAGCAGCCATCCAGGAAGCCTGCGTCAGCAACGAGAAAACCTCTCCGCTTCTCAGCTTTCAGCAAAACGCAAGTACACAAGGAGGAAGGAATGCAACTTATTGACTTGACTCCTGTTGATACAGCTTTAGAAGCTACCGCTCGCCTTCCACCCGCTGGCGTGCCAATCATTCGGTCTTGGTCTGCCGCTGACACAGCGCTTTGTGTTTCTACTATTGTAGGATATGTTGTGACTCTGACACTTGCCTTCCTCCTCCACAAGCGAGTGAACGCCGTTCAAGAACAAGATCATTGCTACCTAGCTCGTAGCTTACTTATCAAAGAACGTATTACCCGTGGCCAGGGAAATACAAATATTCAAGTTGTTAAAATATACTGAGGTCAACGGCTCGCTGGACGACCGGTGATTTAAAGTGTAAAATATCAAATTGGAATTCAGCTTTAATCAGGTGGACCTCGAATTTTCAGATTCGAGTCCTTTCAAACCCTGAATGAATTAATAATAATGAATTCCCTTATAAGAATTAATGAGTTAAATTCCTTACAACACAACAGCACTTTAATCAGTCTATCAGAGAAGGCAGTCAGTAATTGCTGCGAGCGCTGTATCCAGTCCTGCCGACCTGTGAGGTGGGAGAGTCACAGCAAGTTCATGGCCGAGACAGAGTTTTCACTGGGTTCGGCACCATCCTGATCTGAAAAAAAAAAAGAAAAAGCTAAAAGACACAATTCTATTACCAGTCCAGCGTAGCAGCCATGTTTTCAAACACATTGATGTAAACAGTCTGGCTTCTGGAAAAAAATGGCATCATAACATTGATGGTTCCAATATGAATTTAACAGGAGCCCATTTATCAGGTTAAGCAAGTGAAGTGGCTCTAGAGCTGTGAGTTGATTTACTTTATCTGCTCTTTGTTTGTGTGTGTGTGTGTGTGTGTGTGCGCAAAGGGGGTGTTGGGAGTGGGTTCCCGTGCCTCGTGTCACAGTGTAATGAGCTGATTGCATCTGGGAGCTGAGAGGGGCGGAAGCGATGAATGCTGAATAGCAGCAATGCTGTCCCAACTAAATTCATGCAGATGATATCAGGTAGCTTGCTCCTTAGAAGACACATGCACCACACATGGCCATTTACTGCATGCAAGTCATGTCAGAATGATTGTATTTACAAGCTGATCGCACATAAACGGCACCACAAATCTGGATTTTCTTAAAGCTTGACAAGTTGGGAGTGTATCAGTTTACGAATTATGGTGGAAGAAAATAAGCTTTGATCATGAATTGTAATTATGAGCGTTGGCGGTAAAATTGGTTTGTATAGCTTGTGTGTAGAGTTTAGTGATAAAGCTTGCCAGAAAATACTAGTAATTTATCTGGTTTACGAGGAGACAGAATATTGCGACCAAACTATATTTCCCAATGTTCTTCTTCTCGCGGCAAAAACATATATAAAGCATCAACTGCAACTCTAATGTGCATCCTTTGTGCTTTATTTTGTTGCATTTACTTTGTAGCTTCCTGAAATACACTACGTTAGAAAGTTTAGGGTTTAAATAAGATTTTTGTTTTGAAAGAAGTTAATATTTTTATTCAGCAAGGATCAGAGCTGGGCAGATTACTTACAAATTGTAATCCATTACTGATTACACATTACATGATGAAAACTGTAGTTAGTAATGTAATATAGGTTATTCATTTTAGGCAATGTATTCTGACTACTTTTTAGATTATTTTTTATCTAACTTGTTTTGTTTCCCAAACTAGGCTTAATGTTAGAACTGCAGTGGGTTTGTGAGTTGATAAAAAGCTAATCATTAATTAAACACTAAAAACAGAAATATTTAATTTACCTGCATGCACATGTGACCATTAAACAACATCAAAGTGTACATATGCAAATGTGTTGTTAAATTATTGAAATATTAACGTCCTCAAAGATATTTCAAGAAAATATTTCATGTCAAAGTGGTTTGGGAATCCATTTAAAAGAAGAATTAGGGAGAAGAGAATTGGTAAATTATCAATGATTTACTGCCATTGTGTGAATGAAATGTAATCATGTAATCCATAAAAAGTAACTGTAATTTGATTATGAGCATTATAAAATGTAATATATTCTAATTCTAATATATTCTACTTGATTTTTGGAATCTTATTACGTAATCCAGATTGGGGTAATGGCTGCTAATAAATCAGCTTTATATATTAAAATACAAAGCATTTACTGTAATAAAATTTCATAATATTATTGTTTTTACTGTGTTTTGATCAAATAAATGCAGCCTTGATGAGCAGTCTTTTGGACTTCATTCAAAACATAAAATATCTTACAGAAACCAAACTTTTGAACGGTAATGCAGCTCCTTAAAATGTCTCCTGTCTTTGTGTGGAAGTAAAAAAAGCTAAATCAATTATGACTAAACTCACTGAACACAGCTTTACATGAGGTCAATATGGAAAACAGGCTTTCTATGAAATAGAAAATACAAAACGAAAATCTTTGAAGGACTCAAGCCCAAAAATAAAGAAACCCAATAGCTTTATTTTCAATAAAACTGCCTGCGGTTTTTACGAAACGGCAAAGCTGTCTTGTTTTGGTTTTGTCTAGTTTGGCCAAGGCGTAAAATGTAGAGTGGCAGATGCTTTGGGAGGCAATCCGTCTTCCACCGACAGAGAGAGGTGAGGGGACTCGGTTCTGACACGTGACGGCACCGCATGGCTCCTAATGGAGCCAACTCTGCACGCTTGGCTCACTATATAATAGCCCAGTCACTCAGAAAAGATGAAAAATCTGACTTCTGTCCATTTGAATTTATCAGAAGCAACAACAAAAACATAACAGTTAGCTTTCTCGGCCCTCATCCATATCTCATTGGTGTCAGTGCCATTTTCACAGTGCCATCAGTCACGGCCCAGGCACGCTGGTGCAACTATTCGCACACATCAGCTCGTACTTCCAATTCCTGCGGAGAAAATAAGGAGCCAAGCCATTCGGGACATTAAGTCCCGGCACTTATACACTTCGAAAGTATGTGTGGATCTTGTTCTTTTTTGTATTGTCGTGGGAGACAAAAAAATAATGAAAAATCACTCTCTCATACCACTTCCATAGCAATGTCACGCGGAAGGTGATGAATGGTGCACAGTGTGAAATAAAAGGGATGTGGTGTTATTCAAGAAAATATCAATTGCTTTAACAAAGCAGGCTTTGATGTACTAAATCAGTCTTCTATATTGGTCAAGTTCTACCCAGAAACACGAAGATATCGGAATTCATCAGAAGACGGACTGGAAAAGAAATGGCGAGAAAAAGGCAGTGTGTTTGGGTGAGATAGAAAAGAGAGAAGGACATTACAGCATATTAAAAGACAGTGATGAGGTTACGTAAGGAAAGAATGGAGCAGTTTCAGCAGGGTATGTCTGGCTGAAACAGTTACCCAGACGAGGGTCCATAAGAGCGCATTGTGGTGGTGCTATCAACGGTGGAGTAATGCAGAATATAGACTGACAGCTACAGATCTTCATCATCCTTTCCATGGCTCATAGCCACCCACACATTCCCAAAGCAAAAAGCCTACATCTATAGGCTTTCCACGCCCTGAATACAGGGTACTGTTACACGTGATGTCACATTTCTGCTCCTCACCCTGTTTGAGAGCTAACAGCAGCGTCGGATCTGAGGGGCCGCTGCAGAAGTAGCTGCTGCCCTGGGAATCCCAGAAGAGCTGATCCTGCCTCAGCTGGAGTCCTTCGGCCCACTGCAGCCAGCGGACCCTTTGCGTGGCCTCAAACAGGTCCAGCAGCCCACACACCACAAAGGCGTAGTCATCCAGGAAGCCTGCGAAGGGAGATGCACTGGAGAGAACATTAGTAGCGAAGGTCAAGATCTTCTGTTCTTACACAAATACAAATTCAATTTCTTGTTAATGCTGGGTTGACCTGCGTAATAATAATGTCAGGTTAACCTACGCTGGGTTGATCGACGTAACTCTATTGACAGCAACTATGGCTTGCTGCCAATTTACCACAGAAATAATTTAACTCCAAAAGAACAGAAAAGGCATTTACAGTGATACAAGTATCAATGAAAGCCTTGTAAACAAGAGATGAAGAGGGTTCACAGCAGGACATCGAAACTCATAAACTCTATGGATAACTTGTATTCACTGAAAGCTACTTCCTGTGAATGCGAGAGACTTCCGATTCATTAGCCAGTGTAGGTAAACAACTACAAGAATAACGTGCAGAAATTTTAATCAGTGCAGAAAGCAGTTAATTAGAGATATTTTGAAACTATTATAGTTTTATAATCAAGTTAAAATAAATTAAAAAGAGAAATTTTGTCTTGGCAATTAGCTGAAATAAGAAAAAAAGTTTACGTCTTATATATTTTATTTTTATTTCAGTTTTTTCAGTAATGATCATTTTATTTTAAGTAACAATTTAAAGTTTTAGTTATTTATAATAACCCTACCCTAACATTTATGGCTGTACACTAGATGAAAGTAATTGCTTTTACTTTTTTTAAACATGTATTATACAAGCAATTCTATCATACCATGTGAATTGCTTACAACACAGTAATGCTTTAAATGTTATGGTCATGTTTCTGAATTGTGACTTTATATACGTGCGTTATAGGTGCATTATATACGTAGGTATATTACTGAAGTGTGTAATTTCAATGCAACTAGTCGCACATTACAGAATTTTATTAAAATTTACATATATATGGATGAATAAGGTCAATAAGATGCATAGATAGGGTGAATTTCCATTTCATACCAAGTTAATCAATTGCAGAACAAGCAGGGATTATTGACAGCATGCCACAAATGCAATCTATAGAGAGATACCTTTGACCTGAAATACTATATTACCCCAACACAGACTCAGGATGTACATTGAAATTAAAAAGTAAAAATATTAATCTCAATGAGCTTCAGTGATATTTCAATCATGACATTCTATGGTTGGATCTAAGCTTTAAGTCCTTTGAAAACCAAAGGAAGTAGTTTTTTTCCCCCTGAAGTTCTCCTAAATTTACTTGTCTAATAAAATAAGAAAGTGGGGGCAGAGCAGTCTCTGTTTACTGAACGTGAATCTTCTTCCTCACCGAAGTGCCGTGTGAACACAAAACAGCCCAATGGGAAAAAAACACATCACACACACACACACACAGGGTAAAGTTACAGCATGAATTACATGCTGTTTCAGTCTATCACAATTGCTCATGTCCACATGGTACGTTTTTCTTATTTCAGAGAGCTTCATGTTGATTTGCTGCCAGAATTGGCTGTTGCAATCCATAAAATGAAATCGGTGGGAAATGTCAGACGCAGTGGTTTTGTCTGTCGCACCACTTCTATTATTAAAAGGAAAGAAAAGAAAAACATTTCCTTACAATGAAAGTGAAAGTTCCACTTATATTGTATGGAAAAAGGGGAGTTTGGAATTACATAATTTAATATTACATTTTTTATTTATTGGCGATCTGTCTCTTTAATCAGGGAGCGTGAAAAAAGGCAGAGTTTCAGAAGATTAAACAGTCAGTAAGTATGACATGCTCTACCAAAATCAAGTGGTTATGAGTTGGTTAGTGGGATGCCACCTTAAGATGCAAAAGCTAAGCTCTGTGCATTGACTGAAATGCATACAAAGACATTTAGCAGGACCTTTGTGTTATAAAAGCCATTTGAAATTCCTTTTGAGGTGATGTCACCATATAAGATTGCAAAAGTCTTTGAAGTTTCAAATAAATTTGATTCAGATCGCATCAAGACACTTCAACCCTTGTCCTCAGACCCTTGAACAGAGGTAGCCAGCTGAGTGTGAGGAAACAGATAGTGACAGGTCTGAAGATAGTACAGTGTCGGGAGCAGGATGGACGAGCAGGGTCTAATGCTGGGAACTTAACCTCCATAGTTCTTAGTTCAAACAACTGACATTCCAAGAGATAAAAAAATGTCATGAGGTGCCTGTGAGAAGAGTGCCCTCAACATCTGACCCCTACCATGTCATTGCCTCAAGCTGTCAGATCTAATGCACTATTCAAATGTCATGTAAAATAAGTGCCAGGCGAATGTGGATGCAAACCTGGTGACTAGGTACTAAAGATTTGTGCTTCAAAGGTTGAACCTAAGGAGGTCTATAATAGTTGGAGAAGTCTGTTGTGTCAGTGACAGTATCTCAGATGCAAATGTAAGCACAAAATAGTAAAATATCTATTATAATATAAATAAGTCTGGGTCTAGATGGTTATGGCATCTAGCAGCAGGAGCTGAACGGTCCATGCTAACTAGACCTTTATTGGACCATGAGGTAAGTTTCTTCTCGGGTATTCTCGACCCACAGCTTGGTTTATGGGTTCAGAGAAAAATATGACTCCTTGAACTTTCAGTTTCTTCTCAGTAAGACAACAAAACAAATCAGGCTGCCAGTCAATTTTTAATGAACAGCTCTCCCTGGATTTTTCCATTCCCTCCTTGTTGGTTCTCTGTATTCTCACCAGGTGATACAGTCTCTTCAAAGTGCAGCAAAGCCACATCCTAACTTCCACACAAACCTGTCAGGAGACCGAAGCTATAAAAAAGAGCCTAACCTCTATCTATCTCAGGAGTGAGAAGGCTTCTTGTTCCAAACTGATAGATCTACACACAATGTAGTATGATTTTTATACAGCTGAACAAGATTTGGACAATTTGCCACATTCCTTGGAATAACAGCACAGCCACTGGATGGTTCATGAATAATTCACCTGGCACTGCATTTTTACCTGGCCCAGATACTATAGCATATTTCTTCTATTACAATAAAAGGCCCTTAATTCCATTTGAGAGCTACAACAGTCAGGTAACCTGTCTCGTTCTTATCAAACATTCATGTCAGATTTCTCTCTAAATGTTTTCACTGCATGGCACAGGGCTCTTTAAAGGATTAGTTCACCCCAAAATGAACATTCTGTCATCATTTACTCACCTTCATGTCGTTCCAAACCCATATGACTTTCTTTCTTCCGCAGAAGACAAAAGCAAAGGCTGTTTTCCATGCTCTTTTCCAAGCAATTACAATGAACAGGGTCTAAAGCTTTCAAGTTCTAAAAAGCACCATAAAAGTATAATAAAAGTGGTCCATATGACTCACACACTATATTCCAAGTCATACAATAGCTTTGAGTGAGAAAAAAGATAATATTAAGCCATTATTCATTGAAAATCTTGAACTCACCAAGGATTGTTGTCATGATAGAAGCAGCTGATGTCTGATTTGTGAATGAAACCTTTTGTATTGAATCGATTCATTTGGTTCACATAAACAGTCGATTCACTGGAAGGGAACATTATCTGTGAATACTGTAAATTTAAGACTATTTCTATTGAAATCTATTATACAGTTGAATTATACAGGTGCTTTTGCGTGCTTTATTGAAGCTTGAATGCTTCAACCCCGATTCACTTTAACTGCACAGAAGTACAGTTTTTTTAGAATTTCTGACAAAATCTTAAACGGCTTGAGGGTGAGTAAATAATTAAATGTTCATTTTCTTAGAACTATCCCTGTGGATGGATGTGGAACTAGAATTTCTGACAAAATCTTAAACGGCTTGAGGGTGAGTAAATAATGAAATGTTCATTTTCTTAGAACTATCCCTGTGGATGGATGTGGAACATTAAAAATGAGGAACAAAGCAAGATACTAGTTCCTCTTAAATGGATGAAATCAGGTGGCCAGAAACACAACTAACTCCCTAGTAATTCATCTTCTTGCTGGGATGCTTGGTAAATTATTCCCTGTGAGGGAAATCCTCCAAAGGAAATGAAAAACAAACTGATGCAGATTTTTACAGCTCCCTTATGCAAACAGACCGGAGCAGAACTACAAGAGAAGAAACATCTCATCCTACGCTAAATTCAAAGTATAAAGGCCAATCAGATGATTACAGAGGGAGTGCTCCTGATTAAACATTATGTGATGTGACAACATGACAAAGCTATTTCTTCATTATCCCATTGCGGAACACTCAGTGAAAAACGTCTGAAAACAGCCAGTTGAAATCAGTTATAAATGGTGTGTGGGTTAACTCATTAAAATGATCAGCGTGACCTGAGAAGCACACTCAGCATTGTGGGATGACCGATGTGCAGTGTGTTAATGAGAGGTACAAATAAGAGGTTACCCCAAGAATGAGGCCAGGGAATTTGTGTGTGTCTGTGGGCGATTTCATACGTGAAAAGCTTTGTATTGTGCTGATTCTGGGTCATTTCTACATTGGCAGGCTATGTGCCAAGGCAATTAAGATCTGGATGCAAGACAGAATGTGTGCTAGTTTCTTGGCCTACTGTAAAGGCAAATACACCCTCATCATAATCAGTGTTATTTTAGTAGCATTTATATACTACTATAAAATTTATTAAGATGTCAATTAGTTTTTCAGTTTTCATATTGAATATTAGTTTCAGCAATTTTTTTATGGGCTTGTAATTTGTATTATTATTTTTATATTTCTATTTAAGTGTAATTTATTTTTATTTCAGTTTTAGTTTTACAAATTTTATTACTTCAACTTAAACCTAATTTAGTTTAGCCAAAACAGCATTTCTAATTTTCATTTAAATTTAAGATTTGAATGGTTTTAGGTTTAATTAACAACATCAATGAATATGTAAAAACATCCCCAATCACCCTTTCTATATTCTCCAATGACAAATTTGCCAAATTAACATCACAATTAAAATTGCCATTTTAAATAGGCTTTTCCCTTCATGATGGGAAATTAGACTGAAGCTAACAAACTAGCTGTTTATAATCTGTAACTGTTCTTATATCAGCCTCTCTGCTTTTGCAGGCTAAATACATATTTTGGAAAAGCAGAAAATGTTCCTTACACTTGCTCCACCTCCATATTATTTCCACGATAACAGGAATGGAGAATCCTCTGGCCCTCTTCATCCCACAGGTGTTCTCGGAGAAAACAAGCTGCCCGCTCAGCTCTTTCCAGCAGAGCCTTGTTGCCCAGCACGGCTCCGACACGTGCAAACCCGGACAACATCAGCCCTGACCAAGCAAATAAATGGGAGTGGACACAGATTACAAGCTTTGGAAAACCTGACCGTGTTCAATTTAGAAAACAAGTTTCTTGGAATGCTGAAGCCATTTTCTGTCTGTGGTTTCTCCAGCAAAAGTACTTGGGCAAACAACCTGCTTATGTAAAACTTTCAGGAAGAGTTCTGCCTCTCAGATAATGAACCCCCCCCCCCAACAAGAGCTAAAAACATTTTGGTAAAGGTGCAATAGGTGCCAACCAAGACAGAGGAGCTTTGAAAGGAGACATTAAGACTATAAGATCTAAAGTAGAATGTGTTCGGAGGGCTGGGGATCACTAACAATAGTCCTGTCAGAGCTCCATGTGCCTGTAGCCCTGACATGTCTCATGGCTATGAGAGTGGGCCTATCAGGTTTGATTAATGCGAAGGGTTACTCTGCAGGTAGCAATATCCAGTCGGTATGAATTAAGAATGTAATGGAGCGTAGCTCTGGAAGGAACAGTTTCATTAAACAATGTCTCAGGCTTTCTTTAATTAAGATATCAGCTCATTAGTCACTATTCTTCGAGCACTTTTGTCAGCCAGAGTTCCAAAAGGGCCTTGGCTCCCTGCGAAGGTTTTGATATCCTTTCATTAAAGACAACAAGGGCAAAGACCACAACCCAAAGGTCCCCTCTGTGGGCTTTTAAATGCTTGGCACCACATCTAAGCTCCCCATGAAAGAACTCTAACATTTTAGTGCTGCTATTAAAGCAAACCCAGTCGGGAAAAAAAAAAAAACATTTACGGAGCTTGTCGAACACTGGACCTTGTTCGCAAAACGAAATCAATAAAATCGTAAGGATAGGAAGGGGGTACATATAGCTTCAGGGGATGCAAGCATTGCGAATTTTCTTCATGCCTCAGTCTCTCATTGATTAATTGATGGCTGTTTCCATTTCAAAACACCCTATGAAAAACAATTAACTCTAATTAGAGTCTTTTCCTGGTTCAGTGCTCTGGGATTTCCAGTAGTATATTACTGGTTGACACATTTACTTTGTTTCCAATCAGGATGCGGGAAACTTAACGTTCCAGGAAGCTAGCATTTTGGTGTCCAGGTGAGGAGGTGGGCGTGCTTTTCGCACCTCAGCCAGCTTGGCCCTGGCATCGGACAGCAGCTCGGACAGTCTGTCCACACTTATGCCAAAGTGAGCAGCGGTGAGCTCCACTGAGTAATGCACAATCAGCACATTTTGACCCTGCAGCTCTCCATGGGGGTCCTACAAAAACACCAAGTAACAAATCAGTAAATGCACATAATAAAGAAAAATCCCTGACATAAAAAAAAAATTGCATTATATAATCAGCTTTGCTGTATACATTAAAGGTGCAGTAGGAGATCTTGGAAAATGCTAACTTTAGCCTGATAGCACTGAAAGCAAACATCCCACCCTCCCTGCAAATCGCCGTCCAAAGCCATGCCCTCTGAGTGCATGAACGCGAACAGATCAGAGGACCAGAGACAATACTTTACAAAACATTACTACAATACATCATGTGTCATTCACCGGTGAGAAAACGTTATAGTACAGTTAGTAACAGTACTATAATACCAGGAAGGAAGATCAGGTTGTTGATGTTTGCCTGCCATTTTCACTCTGTCTGCACAGTGTACGTGAACGCGCTGATGACGTATCCTGTCTGCGTGAACTGGGTGCGCATAGGTATGCAAATACATATGTTGACACGCAAGTAGGAAAGCCAATAAAAATGCTCGGAACGAGCGTTTTGATTGGACGAACATTTCTTGGTCCTACGCCTTCCACAGAATATATAAATACATATAAATCCATTTAAACCACTTAAAAGGAGACATATTATGCCCCTTTTTACAATATGTAATATAAGTCTCTGGTGTCCCCAGAATGTGTCTGTGAAGTTTCAGCTCAAAATACTCCACAGATCATTTATTATATCATTTTGAAAATGCCTATTTTGAGTGGAAGCAGAAACACGCTGTTTTTCGGGCCTGTCTCTTTAAATGCAAATGAGCTGCTGCTCTCCGCCTCCTTATCCAGAATAGTGCTGCGCCATTACAGCTCGTACCTGCTAAAAAACATCTGTTATGGTTCTGATTATCATGTTTATTGCACTGAAATCATGCGGTTTAAACCATATGAGTTTAAACTTCTGATATACGGTTTTCTGAGTTGTTTATTTTAGATCTAAATAGTGTTTTGTGCTCGTCTGTGCAGACAAAGACAGAAGAGTTAGTATGTTTTGCTCAAACTTTCGCCATGGCATTAGAACTGGTACACCGTTGTCGCTTGCGAAATCAAATGACGGTGCCGTGGGTGGAAACTTACAGATTAAGGGGCGGTAATATTATAATGAGATCCTTTTGAAACGTCACCAAGGGAGCGAAATCAGACGCACTCGTTTTCTCAGACGCTTGCAGAAAAAGGCTTACCAAAACAAAGTTACTGGGTTAATCTTTTTCACGTTTCCTTGGCTGGTAGATGCACCGGGGACCTGATTATAGCACTTAAAAACTGGAAAAGTCAGATTTTCATGATATGTCACCTTTAAATTAATGATTGCTATCGGGATGTAAAGAGACTTTCAAACAGCATAACAAAAAATGTTTCTGAAGACAATCACCTATTGCACCTTTAAATGCTAACTTGTTTTTGAGAAATAGGACAAAATATGTCAAACAAAACATGCTATGGGTTTTAGCTGAATTTCATTCATTCTACTAGAATGCACTTTTTTATATTAGTGAAGTAAGTATCAGTGAAGTACCAACCTACTAGACAAAACTGCGAATTGGAAATTAAACGGAATTTGTGTTATGATTTGTGAAACATTATTATTATTGACCTGTTGTTCATTTGACAATTAAAGATATTTGCAAAACTTTTCTTTTGTAATAGTATAATTACAATAATAATTTTAGTAGTTGAACTCTAAATTTGCACAAAAAAAATTATAATTATTTGACAGATTAGTTTATTTTTGTATATCTATTTTTAAATTACAGCAAGGGAAAAACAAAACATTTTGTAAGGAAATAGAAGAAACAGGTAGCTACACATGACGATAATTTTATATGTATGATTAGAAAATTAATCCAAATGAATTCTTTGATAAACATTTTTTTCTTTTTTGTAGCCAAGAATCTTGCTATTGCTCTCATAAAAACTTCAAATTCCCAAACCCGAGCGGGGTCCACGTTGCCTTGCTCTTTCACACCATAATGATGCATGAAGATATCCGCCTGTGTTGCACCTCCTACGGCGCCTTCCACGATGTCAGGAAGCAGCGCTCTGATCTCTCCTGCTGTCCACACACAAAAACGCTCCCTCTCTCTTCTCGGTGGATTCCACCTTAGGAAAGGAATCTGCATCCTCAGCGCTATAGAATCCGCCAGACTGCAGAGGGCAGCACAATGCTCATAATCAAATGTGGTTTATTTCTTTGTTGCCACTTGTAGGCTGCTTTCGAAGGTACATTGCGGTTTCTTGAGGGGATCATTACTTCTTGGCCACAAGTTATCTTGTTAAACCATGTTACTTTACATAACTTCAGCACACAGTGAACCTCTGGTTGTTATTTACAGAATAATAACAAGGGGATGATTTATAGTACAGTGAGAATGTGAAGTTTTCAGCTATATTTTGTATGCTTTTTGTGGGGAACAACCAAAATATGATAGATAAATAAGGTTCAAGGGAAGCATTGTTGGTACCTAAATACTCCATAAATTTGAGGGGGTTTTAATTGTGTGTCATCAAACTATTCATCATCACAAGATGGCTGGCACCCTGAGCTGGATAGTGGAGGAGGGCTGACCTCAAAAAGGGCTCTGACCTGGGCGACTTTTCAGTGCTTTTGTGGGTTGGTGCTGATTCAGCATGACTGATGCCAAATATGGGATCTAATGAGGGAGAAGACTCACCTTGTCACTTAGGTCTCTGGAGACGTAAAGCAACACGTCACGAGCCACAGCTGCAAATAGGCGTTCCCCAGACACCTGCAGAGATCAACAGCCATAATAACACCACACCTACTAGACAAAACTGCGAATTGGAAATTAAACGGAATTTGTGTTATGATTTGTGAAACATTATTATTATTGACCTGTTGTTCATTTGACAATTAAAGATATTTGCAAAACTTTTCTTTTGTAATAGTATAATTACAATAATAATTTTAGTAGTTGAACTCTAAATTTGCACAAAAAAAATGATAATTATTTGACAGATTAGTTTATTTTTGTATATCTATTTTTAAATTACAGCAAGGGAAAAACGATAATTTTATATGTATGATTAGAAAATTAATCCAAATGAATTCTTTGATAAACATTTTTTTCTTTTTTGTAGCCAAGAATCTTGCTATTGCTCTCATAAAAACTTCAAATTCCCAAACCCGAGCGGGGTCCACGTTGCCTTGCTCTTTCACACCATAATGATGCATGAAGATATCCGCCTGTGTTGCACCTCCTACGGCGCCTTCCACGATGTCAGGAAGCAGCGCTCTGATCTCTCCTGCTGTCCACACACAAAAACGCTCCCTCTCTCTTCTCGGTGGATTCCACCTTAGGAAAGGAATCTGCATCCTCAGCGCTATAGAATCTGCCAGACTGCAGAGGGCAGCACAATGCTCATAATCAAATGTGGTTTATTTCTTTGTTGCCACTTGTAGGCTGCTTTCGAAGGTACATTGCGGTTTCTTGAGGGGATCATTACTTCTTGGCCACAAGTTATCTTGTTAAACCATGTTACTTTACATAACTTCAGCACACAGTGAACCTCTGGTCACCGTAGGAAAGGAATCTGCATCCTCAGCGCTATAGAATCCGCCAGACTGCAGAGGGCAGCACAATGCTCATAATCAAATGTGGTTTATTTCTTTGTTGCCACTTGTAGGCTGCTTTCGAAGGTACATTGCGGTTTCTTGAGGGGATCATTACTTCTTGGCCACAAGTTATCTTGTTAAACCATGTTACTTTACATAACTTCAGCACACAGTGAACCTCTGGTTGTTATTTACAGAATAATAACAAGGGGATGATTTATAGTACAGTGAGAATGTGAAGTTTTCAGCTATATTTTGTATGCTTTTTGTGGGGAACAACCAAAATATGATAGATAAATAAGGTTCAAGGGAAGCATTGTTGGTACCTAAATACTCCATAAATTTGAGGGGGTTTTAATTGTGTGTCATCAAACTATTCATCATCACAAGATGGCTGGCACCCTGAGCTGGATAGTGGAGGAGGGCTGACCTCAAAAAGGGCTCTGACCTGGGCGACTTTTCAGTGCTTTTGTGGGTTGGTGCTGATTCAGCATGACTGATGCCAAATATGGGATCTAATGAGGGAGAAGACTCACCTTGTCACTTAGGTCTCTGGAGACGTAAAGCAACACGTCACGAGCCACAGCTGCAAATAGGCGTTCCCCAGACACCTGCAGAGATCAACAGCCATAATAACACCACACCCAGTCAAGCCAATGCCATATATATAACTAGAAAATTTTAGTTGATTGTTATACAAATCTTAAAATCATCTTAAAAGAACAGTTCACACAAAACTGAAAACATGCTGAAAATTTACTCTCAGGCCATCCAAGACGAAGATGAGTTTGTTTCTTTATTAGAACAGATTTGGAAAAAAAATCACATTACATCACTAGCTCACCAATGGATCCTCTGCAGTGAATGGGTGCCGTATAAATGAGAGTTCAAACACCTGATAAAAGCATCACAATTATACACAAGTACAAAAAAGTTAATCCACTGTTGTCCTCTCACATCAAAATCCATCCACATATTTGTCTAGAACTGTTTTGGACTGTTTTCACTTGTAAAGCTTGATCAGTGCTCATTTCTCTCCTGATTCAGATGACAGGACTTTTCACTGGAGAAAGCACTATTAAGAATAGAGGATTAGTACTTTAGCCAGAAGCAATGGTTTGAAGTTAAAAACATCTTGATGAATGTATTACAGACAAACAGCAAATACAGTTAATTAATGGAGTGGAGTCGTGTGGATTAGTGTGATGTTTTTATCAGCTGTTTGCACTCTCATTCTGATGGCACCTATTCACGAGGTCAATTGATGAGCAAACGATGTAATGCTATAATTGCTATATTTTTTGATAAAGAAACAAACTCATCTACATCTTGGATGCCCGAGGGTGAGGAAATTTTCATTTTTTGGGTAAACTATTTATTTAACTTGAGCTTTAAATAGATAACCACAGAATAAGCAACATATAACAACAATAAAGTCCTTATTCTGTCTACAAACTCCAGAAATACAGAACAGTGTTTCATTATTACTTTCTGGACATAAGCATTTATCAAGAGAGATAAGAAGCACAGAAAATATATCCTATATTAAAACATATTAAACACAAAGAGTACATACATACATCCCACATACATATTCCCACCTGGTAAGCAGTGATATAGGCCACAGCAAGCTGGCCTTGGTCATATAACATATTTTCAAACTGAGGAACATGCCAGGAGGAGTCTGTGGGGTATCTGTGAAAGCCCTGAAAGAAAGAAAATGATTGTGTTTGGTTATGTAATTAAAAGGGAAGAACTGATATATTCGACACAGGTTCTGAATACACAGTTTTTGCATGTCACCTGTGCCACATGGTCATGAATGCCCCCCAATGCCATCATTCGGAGAGTGTGAAGGGCCATTTGCAGCGCTTCTGCTCCCTCAGAGCTGGCACGATTTACTGCCCAAAATGACATCAGGAACATCAGGTTCACTGGAGAAAAGAAAAACACAAGGCCATTCTACATTATTAATGCAGATGCATATTTGACAGGTAATTAACTCACAAGACAGGTGGTCAACAGGATATTGTGTTTACTCACTTTGTGACTCTGTTCTAATAACAAATGATTGACAGACTATAAATACTGTACAAGTTTTAGTGATAAATCTTTTCAGTTCATCCCAGTGTTTTGTTTACCTGGTGAAGGGAACTTCGGAGCCTCTCGAAAGCCTCCATATTCTTCCTCATATGAATGAGCCAGCTGCTGATAACATCTGTTGGCAACATCTGGGCCGGATGGAAGAGTTTCTCCAGGGCTGGCAAAGATTTCTGTCCCCTTCCTGAGGGCTTCCAGTACTCTCTCTCCACTAGACTCCAGGGTTTCTCCGTTGCTCCGCCACTAAAACACACAGTATGAAGGTACTCAGACATTAGAGCACCACAGTACATGGTTTTCAAACTTTGGATGCCATTGTCAATATAAAGGAAGCTATTTAATTTAATGTATAAAGACCCATTTATACTGTGAAATAATATTATGCATACAGTAGTATTCATAGATTTTTGAAGGAAAGTTATGCTTGTGCTCAACAATTATTGCTCACTAGGGGGCCTTAGTATACAGGGTAGGGTTGCACCAGCCATTCGTATGTTCTTACTTAAATTAGAACGTTAAGTCCACACTAGAGGCTTAGTAACTAGCTAATTTGTAACTAAATCTATACATTATTTGGTTGCACCAGTTGTTTGTAAGGCAGGACGTAGCAAGTAGTTCGCCTTGCATAGTATACAGAGATTTAGGAAAGTAAAAACAGGAAAAGCAGTAATATTGTTAAACCTTCTTACAACTTACAATAACTTTGTACAATAACTATATATTCTGTTTTAATATATTTTAAAATTGAAGTTTAAAAGCTGAATTTTCAGCAGCCGTTAGTGTCACATGATCCTTCAGAAATCATTCTAATAAGATGATTTGCTCATGTGCTCAAGAAAACTTCCTTATTATTATTATTATTAATGTTGAAACAGTTACTGCAGAAACCCTGAATTTATTTTCAAGGATCCTTTGATGAATTAAAAAGTTCAAAAGAACAGCATTTATCAGCAACGATGTAAAAGTCTTTACTGTCACTTTTGATCAAGTCATTGCATCCTTACTGAATATTAATTACTTAAGTATTACTTTACTTTTTAAAAACTTTGAACAATACATATTAAATATGATCTGAAAAACGTTTACTTTCTATTTATTTGATCTCTTTAAGACTACTGTTAGATTTATAAACTTAAAGAAATACACAAAACTAGACAGTTAATAGAATAATTGTAATAATGTCCAATTTGTTAAATGCTAACTTATTTTGTCATTCTTCTTCTTCTTATTATTATTATACTTTTCCACAGACCCCTTAGCACCCTCTTGTGGTTACCTGACCACAGTTTGAAAACCCCTGCACTAACTGATTGCCAACTGCTCACTAGGGGGCCTTAGTATACAGAGATGTAGGCAGGATATATACAGGAATCATGGAGTTAAATTTAATACCTTTTAAGACCTTTTTTAAGACTCTTTCCATACATTATAAGACCTCATCGCCACTCCAAGTTTTAACCGGTTACATCGGCGACACTTTAACTTACATTTATTATATATTGAGGTGGCCTATTGGCCAGCCACCACCACCACTGGTTGCCTGGGAAGAAAGCAAATCACCCTATTTTAATTATACATGACACTTTGTAAGTTATGGCGCTGACAACACATGAATTCTACGGGTCCAAACCTGCAAAAATGTCATGTAAACTTTGTCCACATCAGGCCTCTCCTCTCTGTCCACCTTTATACAGACAAAGTTCTCACTGAGGATTTTTCCAATCTCCTCATCTTCAAACGATTCCCTCTCCATCACGTGACACCAGTGACAGGTGGAATAACCCACTGTAAGCGATAATAAACAGTAAAGACTGTAATATTTAGGCTTGTGCGTTAAACAACACTAAAAAACAAGCATCCAACATGTATTCTTTCAAGTTACCTGAAAGAAAAATGGACTTGTCTTCACTCTTCACTTTATCAAAGGCTTCTTGTCCCCAAGGATACCTGGAAAGAACAAAACACCAGAAAATAATGAAAAAATACTTTGTAAAATATATCAGACATGATCTAAACTTGGTTTGCATTTAAGTTAATTAAATGTAGTGTAATTCTATTTATATTATTTAAAAGTAGATTTCCATGCATTGTTTTTTTTTTTTAAAGAGACAATACACTAATACAGGGAAGTTACAATACACTAATACAGGGGAAATACAGGAAAGTTATATTAGAAATTTCAAGTTTTAAAAAGCATTCACAGTGTGGATATTGTTGACAGTTTCTCCAAAAATTAATAATCTAAACTGACTTTGTGTTTACAGTAAGCCTAAAGATCTCAGAGCCCCTTACCAGTCCACAGGGTTATGTGCATGTTGTAATACATAGGAAGACTTCTCTTTACTCAGGCGATTGGTGTGTTTTGGGGTCTTTAATGTGTCCGGTCCATCACTCCCAGATGCCATGCTGAAGAAAACCGCTCCAGAAGACCTAAAACAACCATAGGACATATCTGTGGTGAATTAAATTGATATTGAAAATGCTTTAACCGAGTGCCACTGCTCATAGGGAACCTTAGTAAACAAAGGTCGGAAAATAATAAAAAAAGAATGGTTTAGGGAACTTTTCAGGTGGCTGTCCAGCTAAGACCAGCTTAAACTGGTCAGAAAACCAGTTTAGGGAAGGATATGCCAGCTTTTATTTGTAAACAAACTTTGGAATAGTTACAACTTCATAACATGCGTTTTACTGCATATAAACAATGGCTGTCTCAAAACTTATTAAGCTGCCTATCTAGATAACATTTTTGTATGAATTCCACATTAATATTTGCCCTAGACAGCATTTGTGGGCATCATCTTACTGGGTTTTGTACATATGATCGTTTTGTAACATAATCAAGGTCTCTGTATTAGCTCCAGTGCTAACAAAGCCTGCATCGTTTTATAATCGGTTGTGCAAGCACGCGATCAGACATGAAGCACTCAGCCTGGGAGCATGACGGTGTCAGAGGTCAGTGCCTACCTGAAGCTGTCCCAGGACAATCTGGTACTGGCAAGCACTGACTTCTGGCCAAACTGGAGGGCTTGTGGTAGTCTAGAGCACCGGCTGTTATATAAAGTATGAGGACTGTCTTTTCGCAGAAGGGATCCGGTGAAGAGCCTGGCCTGTGCGATGTGTTTGGTGGTGGTTGATGATGTAGACCAGGGCTGTCCAAACTCGGCAGTGTTGCCAACTGCTTTCAATTGAAAGTAGCTAAAACTGGTAGCTAAATGTTACTAGATGACATCACAACGGTAAATTCACTGATCTATATGAAGATGAACGTAGATCAGTGGGCAAGATGAGAACTTAGATAAGGTTTGTCCAAGAAGTTGCTATATTTGTCCCTAAACTTTTGAAAAAAGTCTCAACAGGGGCGGGGAAGTCGTTAAATCTAGCTACAAAGTAGCTAAATTGGCAACACTGAAACTTGGTCCTGGAGGGCCGGTGTCCTGTAGAGTTTAGCTCCAACTTGCCTCAACACACCTGACTGGAAGTTTCTATGCCTAGTAAGAGCTTGATTAGCTGGTTCAGGTGTGTTTAATTAGGGTTGGAGCTAAACTCTGCAGGACACCGGCCCTCCAGGACCGAGTTTGGACAGCCCTGATGTAGACCATGCGAAACCCAGTCTCAGCATCATAGATCCGCACCGAGCTGCTCGTGGTGCGGATTCACACAGTGCACTGTCAGTGGAGTGACCTGAAACTCATATTTGTGCCACTAGATCTGTTATAAACATATCAACAAACCAAAACGTTGGTCTACCTTTAGCATTTTTACCTAACCGATCTCTCTGGAGGGACAATTCGAGTCCAGAGTTCTTTACTCATCATTATCATTGATAATCTTTAGGTTGTATATAAGTTAACGCAGCATATAATATAAAATATTAACATTTTGCATAAGACAAATTGATGACGAATTTTTAACCAAACATCACAGTACAATTATTTCTTTTTAAATTGCATTTAGTGTAATTCTAATTAAATTCATTATATTGAATGTATTATCTCCGTGTATTGTGTTTTCTTAAAGCTGTGGAAGAGAAAATAAATAAAGGGCTATTTAATGAATACCATCGTTTATAGTACGCGAGTTTTAAAATGCTTAACAGTTCATTTTGCATTTCAATACAGGTTTGGAAATTGGATTTGTCCCCCTTCAGAACAATTTCTCATTTGACCGTTAGAGGACGCTTGTAACGTATCGTTAACCCGGAATTAGAAATTATAGGACAGGAGGAAGCGCTGTCACTTTCTTCCGGTAAATGAAACAACAACATTGCTGAAGAAATGGCGGAGATCGGGGAAGACGAGCTCAAAAAGCTTGAATATTTGTCTTTGGTGTCTAAAGTTTGTACCGAACTTGACAACCATTTAGGAATCAACGATAAGGACCTTGGTAAGTTTATACATTTGACTTGATCGCGTGTCACGTTGTTGGTAGGAGTTTCGTAAATAGCTGGTTAGCCTGTTTCTTGGTTAGTAACGTTATTTACAGATGTAAAAGACAGAGGCACAATTTGTGTGTGTATGGAAGTCTGTAGTAACAGTCTGTTGGTTTATGTGTTTTTCAGCTGAGTTTGTTATCAGTCTTGCTGAGAAAAACCCAAGCATTGATGAATTTAAGACAGTGCTGGTTAAAAATGGAGCCGACTTCACAGTAAGGATTTTTAAAATCTCTTCTGTCAAAAATGTGTTCCTTCAACTTTGTGTGTTGTGATTTTACATTTGGAGTTTTAGAAATATCTAACCCACCGTGTCATTTAGGATTCACTCGTCAGCAATTTGCTTCGTCTCATTCAAACCATGCGTCCTCCTGCAAAAGCATCTTCCAGTAAAGGTAAGAGCATTGGTGGTTTTATACAATAGCAGTCAGTTTTGATTCTAACATCTTCAGGCCAAGCGTCTGCATTTTTTCATATCTCCTGATGGGACTTTTCTTATGTGATCTTTATTGCACAGCCTCTCATGCTGTGGCTAAGTCGAAGAGTGAAAAGGACAAGCTGAAAGAGCTGTTTCCAGCTCTGTGCAGACCTGACAATCTTAATACTAGGGTAATTCTATATATACATTGGCTATATAAGTAACTATAATGTGTTTTTACTCAACTGTAATCATAAACTGTATATGCTCTTCTAATTAGACTATGCTGGATGAGAATGATGTGAAAGTTGCTGCTGATGCCATGAAAGAGTTGGAGATGTTTATGCCTAGTATTAGTGGTACAGAACCTAGCAGCAGTAAACACAGGTGAGGAACTTCTGTAACATAAAATAGATGCCATTAAACTTGATGCTGCAGTGATTGCCCCATTGCATCATGTTGTTGCATTTTAACGTGTACGTATCATCCATCTTAGGTCTGAAACCAGCAGCGGCAGTAAGAAGAAGCGGAGGAGCAGAAGTCGCAGTCGGAGCAGAGACAGGGATAGAGACAGACGGAGACGCCATCGCTCTCGCACCCGTTCCAGATCTCGCTCTAATGAGAGAGACAGAAGGAAGCGCAGGAGCCGCTGGCACTCTCGCAGCAGGTCGAGGAGTCCTGCACGGGGAGACAGAGACAAAGGCTCAGACCGCTGGAAGGACAAACATGTGGACCGCCCCCCTCCAGAGGAGCCGTCTGTGGGCGATATCTACAACGGCAAAGTCACCAGTATTATGCAGTTTGGCTGCTTTGTGCAGTTGGAAGGTCTCAGGTATGTGTTCGAGGCAGTAAATCTACTTTTAAAGCTATTGAAATTGATGTGAGTGTGTATGATTTGATATTAAACTTTTAAAATGTTCCTTTCATGAAGGAAACGCTGGGAAGGCTTGGTCCATATTTCTGAGCTCAGGAGAGAAGGTCGGGTAGCAAATGTGGCAGATGTGGTCAGCAAAGGTCAAAGGGTCAAAGTCAAGGTGTTGTCCTTCACTGGATCCAAAACAAGTCTCAGTATGAAGGTGAGTTAGCTGTCTTAATGAAAGCCATGAGAGAGAACAGACAAAACTGCCAAATGGTCCAAAAGTCACCAATTTAAAGAACAGCTAAAATTTGCATATCTAAATCTGTACATTTTATTTACAGATTTGTTAAATTCTTAAAAATAAATCAAAGAATAATAAGAATTTTAAGATTCTGCATATTGAGATTCTGCCACAAAACATTTCTCTCTCTCTCTCTCTATATATATATATATATATATATATATATTGAATTTAGTAAATTATAATATTAATTCTAGTGATCATAGTGGTAGTAATAATAATAATAATAATAGTTATTATTGTTATTGTATAGTAATAGTATTCTATTTTTATAATATACACAAATTTAGATGTATATTATTTTAATGAAAATAATGGTCATAATAATAATTACTATTATTATTATCATAACTTGTATTAATATTATTTAATTGCCTTTTATTATTGTTATTAGTATTGTTTTTAAGCACTTTCATACAACACTTGTATACATTAATTATTTGACTAGAAATGTAGCTTGTATCTTCCATATATAACTTTTTTTTTTTTGCTCCGCTTGTATTATATATTGACTGATTACTGTGCATTATATGTGGGCTGATTTTTGTTGGGTTGTCTTTCTTTTACAAGGACGTTGACCAGGATACTGGTGAAGATCTGAACCCTAACAGGAGGAGAAATGTGGGTGGAGAAGGTCAGGAAGAGTCGGCCATGAGGAATCCTGACAGACCTACAAACCTGAACCTGGGCCATGCTCCAGAGGTAGAGGATGACACATTGGAACGCAAAAGACTCACCAAGATCTCCGATCCGGAGAAGTGGGAAATCAAACAGGTGCATGGCCATCTTTTTAATACATTTCTTGTTATAACATTTATTACTTATGTTCATATTTTAACATCTTGATTTGTCTGTTCTTAGATGATTGCTGCCAATGTGTTGTCTAAGGAGGAATTCCCAGACTTTGATGAAGAGACAGGAATTCTGCCTAAAGTAGACGATGAGGAAGGTATGAATTGGATTATCCTTTGTTTAACTCGATATTTTTACCATAACAATAAATAAAATCCAGCTTCCCATCACAAAAAAAATTGTTTTTGTTGGAACACCTCTAGCTGCCTGAGCAACCACCTCAAATTTTGTCTATTGCGGTTTGTCTGTCAGATGAGGACTTGGAGATTGAGCTGGTGGAAGAGGAACCTCCATTCCTGAGGGGACACACCAAACAGAGCATGGACATGAGTCCTGTCAAGATTGTCAAGGTTGGTCAAACCACCTGTACTCTCACTCTACAGCTGCCTGAGCAACTTAAAGCAAAGCTATTGATTTCACGAATCTGGACATATTCTGTGATTTTTACACTTGCGTATATTCTGTTTTTCTGGCAGAACCCCGATGGATCTCTCTCCCAAGCAGCCATGATGCAGAGTGCCCTGGCCAAAGAGCGACGGGAGGTGA